CCTGTTTTGATTTATGAATTGGGGTCATAGCAAAAGGTGAAATATCTTCTTGCATCATCACCAAAACATGAAGCAATGAGCACTTACACCCTCTGCATAAAATTAGCTTCTCTGTCATCACATTCATGCATAAACATACTTTCAATCAATGTCACTAAAACACAAAAGGAAATGAATCCCACTGACTGCACAGTGAGCCCACAAAGCACTGACGTATAAAAGCCTACTAGTATTTATAAAATACTTGCAGATTTACACTACTAGCAAAAATCTGAATTAATTTTAGCTGTGTTAGCTGTTCTTAATTAGAATTTTTTATTCAGATGGGAATAAAAATAACAATAAGGATTGTAAGTGACATTTCAGAACTCATGGAAACGTCAGTTGGTTTCCAGGAAACTCAGTGGTTCCATAGCCTGAATTTTGGCTCCTGTAGAGTAACAAAAATTTTAGTTCAGGACACAAAAACAATACACGAGATAAAGAAAAAAAGAAATGTTGCATAAGAGAAAACTGGGATACCTGATCTGACTGTAAATGAGATTTTCTTATGAGAAAAGTCTCGCTTTGAGCCTGAGAACTGCAGATTTGGATCATGCCTGAGCTGCATCTACAGTGGTTTTGTTCCATTCTCTCACCCTGATTTCCTTAGTAACCACACAGGACAGCTAATCAGTGTCCTGTCCACCCACCTGCTTTGAAAACTGGTAGATAATTCTGATGGTACTTGACAAAATTTTTTTCCAAAGTTATTAGATTCCAGCAGGCAGTCTGGAGGCCACATGGCCTGGCCATGCCCAATCATGTGCATTTGCTTGGACCCATAGGAAGCAAGACACTGAATTTGACTTGTCCAGCAAGTTAGCAGCAGTGACAAACCTGCAAACTGCTGGTGCAGCATATGACTTCGGAACAGTGAGGAGATGGATGGTGACTGCGGATGCTATAGCATGAGCAAGGGCAGAAAATGCCAGAAGAAAGGACAAAGTTGAGGGAACCAGGGTATGGCCAGACAAAGCAACACTACAGGAAGTTAGACTTCATAGTTCTGCTGTTTGCAAAATAATTTACAAATGCATTTCCTAGGTATATATTATTCACCTGCTTTAAGCATTCAGGGATAACATTAAGGGAAGTACCTGTTTCATTTTACTGGATTGCTGAAATAAGAGAAACCAAATGCTCACTGGGAGCAGAGTAACATGTTGCAATCGCTCAGCATCATTTACTGTTGCACAGAGCTTCCACATGAGCAAAGGCTCCAGAGTAGCCCAATACGTGGCAGCTCCAAGCACCCCTTGCCCATACAAACACTTGCCAAGATATCAGCAGTCCTCTATTAACCTCTTCTCAGCCTCCATAGCAAGTTTAAAGCTGTGACTCAAGGCAAACTTACCTCTCAAGCAGAGGAACTCAGAACTCCATCTAGTCTCAACTGTGTTCTTGTAACACAGCCTGAACAACCCCATTTTTACTCCCTTTGTATTCAACATGGTGGTGTCCTCCCCACACAATTGTTTCTCCAGCTCACATCAGCTATACTCATCCTCTGTGTCCACTCCTTTCCAAGATAACTCTGCTGTTAACTCTACTGTCCCACCAAGTTCTGCCATCCCACAAATGCTGACAAAAAGCATTTGTCACAAGTTAACTTCACTATAAACAAAGGTAAAGGATGCAAAACCCTAAGAAGGGTTTGCCCCTTTCACTCCACCCACCCCTCTCAATTCACCCTGGAAGAGTATATATATAGTTCTGTATATAGAATGCTCTTTTTAGACTCATTAGTTCACTAATCAGGTCTCCTTCCTGTCCCAGAAAATGAAATCCATCCCACATATTTTTAAAAGAGTTTTATGTTAAAGCTTGCTCTTTCTGAGGGAGCACCAAGCTGTAAATACTGTGTATGAGGTCTCCAGCTATAGATTAGAGTGCTGGGACAAAACTAACCCATTGTAAGAATCCTCAGCAGAAGGTATTCTGCTACCTCCTGAAGAAGTTCTGTTTCCATGGTTTGAGCATAAATGGACAAAGCTTTAGCTGGAGCAAGAGATCAGGAGGCCACACTGGCTTTAAGCACCTTTGTAAAGTACATGTTTGCATTTCAATATGCTGCACATCAATAGCTAAACATTTTCAATAGTGAACAGTCTTACATCAAAGCCAAGTGGTCAAAGTACACTCGCTGGTCTTTAGAAGGTGTGGGTGAGGCAGACACACCTTGTGCTGCAACGTGACCCACAGCTGCTGCATAAGCTGTAGCTGTATGAGGCTTCAAGAACAAGCCTGGCACAGTCTTGTGGGTATTTCCCAAAGAGGATGTTAAAGTGGCATGGCTTTTGAATATGTGATTTGCACTAGTGCTGGCTTTGAACAGGAGCTACGAATTTGTAATCTCTTGAAAAAATAGAATTTTTTAAATTTGCACTCTACAGCTTACTGTGGTCACCTCACAGTCGATGTTCAAAGACACACTTAGTCCGAGGAACACCCTGCTGTAGGGATTTCAAGAAGTTGCTTGGTTTAGCCACGTAAGAACCATGTTTGCCCTGGATATGGAGGAAGACAAGTACATTGCTAAGATAGAAATAAAGTGTTTAATAATCCCCAAATACAGATACTCAGCAGACAGTGTCTAGACCACCTTGGTAACTTCCCATAGTCATCCTACTACAGTGCACTGAACTTTCTGCTGTCCCATGCTGAGTGCACCTTTCCAGAAAGTACAGCCAGGTCAAAACTGCACAGCTTCCTCCCCATATCAGTCTGTAAAAATCCAGGATATAACTAGGAAAGCCTTGGCACTGCAGGTGGTCAAAGTCTGCTATGATTTAATACATCATTTGCAAAATAGGACCTTAAACACACATTCTCATTTCAGGACAAATATGTGAAAGTATATTTTATTGACACTCTCCAAACAGCCCATTAGAGAGGAATGACAGTATTTAACAATTAAAAAAAAAGAGAATATAATAACCTGTAAAGCTTCTAGCTTGCATTCAGTGTTACAACTTGGAGGTATAAACAGAAGCCTGGAGTAAAAATATGAAGTACGTTTCCAATCCCTCAGTGCAGAAAACCAGTAACAATGGTATTTAGCCTACATTAGAAGTGTTCCCATGTTCAATTCCAGGTATATGTTTCTCTTCTATATATACTTCTGATAACTTATGTACAAATAAGATGTCCAACATCTGTTCTTTAATATAAATATGTAATCTTCATGATTGAAATATTACAACAGTTTGATCAAAAGTATAGAAAAATCCTTTTAATATTTTTTTTCTAATGGCAGTCTAAAAAAACAACACTTGAACCCAAATGACCTTAGAACAACAGGTATTTCTTCACCACAATAATACACTGTGCATTTGACATGCAAAGTATTATTGCATACATGAGTCACATGAATTAGAACAATAAAGTCTGAAGGAAAGGTGCTGTACAGCCCATTCTACCAAGTGCTAGCTGTAAGATCATAGGTATTACAGAAGAAAGCATAAGTACTAGTGTATTTTTAAATAAAACACTACAAACTCAAGTATTGTACTCGTGCTACTAAGACTTAAGGCAATCAAGAGCTGGGAAGCTTCAGTTTGGCATAGTTGCATCAAGCTCTCCCCTAGTCCTCATTTTTACATATGAAAATTTATTTTTAGAGGGCTGCTGATGGATGGTTGCTATACATTAATACAACTCAGTATGAAGCGATAAATCAGTAAGAAAGTTTAATATCCCCAGTTTCACTGAGCTGATCAAATTTAAGCAACAGTTGATCCACCAGCCAAGTTTTCCAGCATGGATCTCTAAGTTGGTATGAGAATAGAGAAAACATTCAATGTCTATCGTCTCAGTGTAACGGATTTTATGACATGAATCCATTCTTGGGGTGTTCTAGAATTTAAGGGCTCAAAATAGATTTGACAGTCAAATAATATTCAGCTTTACAAAGGACAATTATATGCAGTAAAAATACTTTATATAAACACACACAGTACATCAAAGTCAACAGGCATTTCTTTATGGCTTTTTTCACTGAGGTACTGTTATAACATCCAGCAACAGGATGCAAGTGTTCCTATGGTACGAACACCACATTCATAAGCTGTACCACCAACTCATAACAAGTGGCGACAGACTGCAAATCCTGCTTCACTGCAGGATTACAGGAAAATAGTCTTCCCTCCTATGTGGAAGGTCTCAGTGCAAGCTATAGAAAGCCTTAAAGGCAACTGGCATCAATGGGGGAAAGCTAAAATGAAATTCTCGCTCTATTTAAAGGAGAAAAAAAACCTTGTGGCAAATTATAATCTCATAGTCAGGCCATTTCTAACAATTAACAGCAAACTTAAAATTCCAAGGCAGCGAGGGCATATAGCATAGCAGCCATACACTAAGACTTGAAATGAGTCGTTAAGCTCTTGCATCTGACCCTTAAGCTAAGTGCATGCACAGGCTCAGAGCAGCCAATCTGCTACTGCAATACCACGCAGACAAACACTGTGAGCAAAGGTGAGGTGGTAAGCACATGACTTCTCTGGATGCAACAGTAGACACAAAACCTCTGGTGACCACAAGTTTATACCTCAGCTGTCAAAAGCAACTAACCAAATGCATAGTTAGTTGCACCTTCTGGTGTTTAAATAGGGGGAAAATGCAGATGTGTTAAAGTCTCTAGTGACAGTACTTCCAATTCCAGTACTCTTAGCATAAGTGGAAGAGGTGTTAAGACAGCAGGATTGTTGCTGTATGCATTTAGTATTCCACCTTTACAAGCAGAAAGTGTTCCTTTTTAAACAGAGTGGCCATATAGTTACTCCAGCCATGACTTCTGCTTTTATTACACCTATGCGAAAAATATGTTTCTGCATTAAATATTGTTAGAGTGAAATGGAACGTCAAAACATGCTCAGTTAATTACGGCAAGTACTTCTGTCCAATCAAGGTTTTTTTAACCCCATAAATCCATTGAAAAGGCTGCAGATGCAGCATTTAAAAACTCCGAGCTTAGCCACACACAATCCATACTGTACTTTACGTACACATTATAACATATCCCCACTTAGATCAACAAATTCATCATCCCTCTTGACCAAGTCATCTTCATCTTCCAAGTCTTTCCAGGTGCTAGTGGGTAAAGCTGGTTTGACAGACTGTCTCTGAAGTAAAGCAAATGGAAACAAGGATGACAAACGGGCAGAATTTCTCAGTGTGGTAACAGAATGTACATCTCCAGAAACAGCTTGACTATGTTCTTCATCCATCTTCTCCTGCAAACTTTGCACTTCCTCCATCAAGTCCAAAATCTTGGCAGCTGTAGCTATGGTACCACCACCATGAAGCTGGGCTTCAGGAATCCATCGCAAATAGCGCTGTGCCCAGACTTTGATTTCAGGGCCATCAATGCGAGGTAACAGAAGACCATGATAGTCAACAGGTTTGCTATGCCAGCTATCATAGAACTCCCTCAAGCTATTAGGAGGTTCATCTGAAGAATTTATGAACTTGCCAATTCTTTTACCCAGAATGTTTTTAATTAAATGATCTGTTTCCTCCCTGAAAAATCCTCTCTTTGAGGAAGGTTTAGCTGGCGTCAATGGCAAAGAAAGCTGCCGCTGATGCTTTAAGAGGAAAGAAAAGAAAAATACTGAGATGAATATTGATGGGACTTCAGAAAACAGCTTTAAGAGGAATAAAAACAAACTTGCATTCAGAAATTACTTGCAAGCAAAGTCAATATATACCAAAGCAGTGGCTGTGTTTAAACCATCACTTTTTCATGGCTAATACACCAAGTATTCCAGAACATACCTACTACTGCCAGATATCTTCTCTGCACTGACTAGAGCAATGAAGTAACACTGATAAAACAATTTTGTCTGAAGAAGTCAAATCCTTTGCTTACATTCAAGTATTACAAGCTTCCATGTTTACATTAAGCTAGTCACAAATCAAAGAGCACTTATTTTCTGGTTTTTATTCAGTGGTTCCTCATTGCATCTCACTGCATAAGAGATGAATGCTGTAGATCATACTGGCAGTGTCTCACTCCACAACAGAACAGAATTTAACAACCAGCAGGGAAATTACAACTGAAAGAGGCTACTCCAGACTAATTTTTTTTCCTGAGTTTGTGCTACTTTCCAATAACGAGGTGGTCCCATAATCCTCCATACCCTGGGCAGTTTTTGGTGATGGTGGTCCCCTTCCCGCTCCAAGGGCACTCACACACTCTAGTTACACTCGGACAAAATTAGTAAGGCAATTATAAACCTGCCATGCATTTCAGTAAGGTACTCCATGGAACAACAAAATAAACTAACTTCCATCATGTCACTGCACCTCACCTGATTGTTACATCACATGAATTACCAATATACTTGCATAAAAGTATGAAGAATAAACCCCCTAACTTCAAGGCTATGAATAATTACTGTAAAACAGTTATTTACAAGTGAGGTAGATGCAAATTGGGTCCCTAAAATCCAGGTGAGTCTGAGGTATACATGTATTTTATCAATTAAAAAAGCCTTTGCACCAATACTTACACTGTGAGCACATTTGAAATACAGGATGTGCAAAGTATTTCTATCATTAAAAAAAATAAAATAGTTAAGCAGCACATATCTTACTTTGAATCGTGGAGTTTTCCGTTGACTTTTATCTGGTTTTGGTTTCTCTGCATAAAAAGGGTTGTTCAGAAAAGCCTGGGCCCTGGGGTCAAACTGCACAGACCAGTCCCACACAGTCAGAAATCTGAAAGGACCACTTTGTGTCTTGAGGCTTTCACCACTCTGCCAAAACAAATAGGTCACAATTAATACAGCAAGAAAGGAATTCTGAGCAAGTCAAGGTAAAATTAAGAAACTGGCTTTTCAGAGAAAAGTCCATGGAGTTAAATAACACTCATGCTTTCTGGGTATTCAGTAACAGTGCAATTAGATTTTCAGTTGAAAATAAGGTTAAGTAATCTAAGAAAAAAATGCTAGAATTTTTCAAGTTAAGTAGGAGACAGACACTTGGATACTTCAAAGACAGGGGCATGTTAGGACTCCAGACTTGAAAGTTAACTGCAGTTATGCAGTGCTACCAGTTTAGATTTTGTGATCAACAGTTAATTTATACAAGAGACAGTGATCTTCACTTTTTTTAAGTCTCTGTGCAGCCTTGTAGAGGGTCCTCCCATTGCTTCCAGCTTCTTAGGCTAAAACATGAACTGAATATAAATCAACATTCAGGAAATGTTGATTTTGGAAGACAACAGAATATACTATCCAAGAATTTCGTAGATAACTTTTTCTGCAGGACAGATGGATATTTCTCTTAGGTTAGTTAAGGAGCTCCATTTCCATTGAAGAGCACAAACATCAAACTACAGCCATGCATTGAAAGCAATATATTCCCTTTGTCATCATAAACTGCTAAGTCCTGAACTTGACTCCTTACACCCAAAACTGCACTCATTCACCCTTCAAGGCACTTTGATAAGTATGGAAAAAGGTACTGCTAGGGAATTAGCTTATTTGAGTGTTCTTTGCTTGTTGGTCAAACTTGTTTTCCAACACACTGCATCCACAAAGTAACAAACCCTTACCGCGCTAGTGTCTCTTTGATGTTGTGAGTTGAAGAAGAAAGTGCTAAAAATAGGCACATAGAGGCTGTCTGACAAGACAGTCAAGTAAGTTTCTGTGAACTCAAATGCTGGAGGATACTGTTGTACCAACTGCCAGACACAATTTAGCAGGAGCAGAAAAACAGGAGCCTAAGAAAAGAAAATACTGCTTCAGTTTCAGAAAAAACAGTTGTTCTATCAAGCAGACTATTTATGTTACAGTGTTTAGTGTCTCTAGATACAAATCTTGTGGCAAGAAGCCTGGTCAATTACAGAACTGCTGCATATACATTTGGCTGAACTCTGAAGAAGTATCATATGAGCTACCGGTGGCCAATTATCAACAGAAGAGATGAGCATTTCTACCCTGAGTTTGAAAGTTGTCACTATGAAACCTTTTAAAGTTGGCAAAGCAAAACTAATTTATAGCAATTCTTGATCAGAACTAGTCAGTTTACACTTGTTATTTCCATTCTATATAGCAATCTGATCTAATCCCAAAATATAAACAACCGTGGAGAGGTGAGACCGCAATGTTTAGCAAGATAGTATAAAGTTGAGCTCTAGATGTGACCAGAACAGGCAATTCACTTGAGCTATTTCTGTGGACACTACTACCACTTAACACAGTTTTCAAGAATACAACAGACATGTCTGTCAAAAGACTCCAAGACTGAATAGGAAATTTTACATTTGTTCTCTTTAGTTACAAAGACATTGCTGACCTCTAAACAGCAAAAACAGTGACACTACACAAATGTGAACCCATAAAACAAAACATAAAAGATCCTCAGAGTAATCGGAACTTCTGGAGTAACAGCTAAATCCCTTCTTATGCTGAGTAAACTTTTAAATAGTAATCAAGGAATGTAATAAAATAATCATACCTCCTCTTTTTCACTTCTGTGTAAGTGGTTACAACGATCCAAAAAGCAATGTCCTCCAATTACCCACTCCTTCTGAATTAGGCTCTGAAACCCTGACTTTGTTCTGCTGTATGAATCCATCATCACTTGAACCAGACTAGAGATTACACAGCACAGATCAGTAGCACTCTCTTCTGCAGAAAAGAACAGAAATCATATTGTCTACTAACCCATTCCTAAAACTGTGTAAGAAAGAAAACCATTGCTAGTTTCACATAAACAAAATCGTATTTCAAGATCAGACAAGCCCAGAATTTCTTTTTCAAGTGTTATACCATCACGGAGAAATTAATCCATGTTTCCAATACTTCCCTTTGTTAAAACGTAAGGTTACTTATACAGTTTCAGTAAGAAAATACTTGGACAATAAAACCTGCAAACCTCCAAGCTTTTACTGCTATAACTTACATGCCTATGCCCATCAGTCTCTCGTAATGGACACACTGCACCTCCTGCCCTGTGCTACCAGTCCAGCTACATGTCCTTACCCTTCCTATCCTCCAGGCATCTTTTCACAAGGTGTGACTCCGCCTCCTCATGCAACATGCATTCCTCACCTTTCAGCTGCCTTCCCAAAACATCTCTTCTTCATGCTACATTTCTCAGAGGGCAACACATGTGAAAAAAACAACTAAACTGCCAATCCAAGAGTAACTTAATGGTTAACATCAGGTTTGGTTTTCCATGTGATTACTTTACCCTGTCTAGGAAAACAAACTGCTCAACATGTGCACAGTAAGCATATTCTTTCATGTATTTTTCATAAAGAGACTATATAGTATTCAGTGTGTATCTAAACATTAAAAAGTCCTTTTAGAAAGTCTTCGTGTTACTGGTAGATGTAGTGTAGACGTGGTTCCCCCACCCCCTTTAATTACAGCAAGAGGTCCAGGAGACCTTTAATAAAATAAATTAGGAAACAGGAATGCTACCACTTCTTTATGCATGACTCTCCAGCCGATTTATCAGCAACTTTCTCATTCACAACATAGTTCTTTCAGCCTGGAATTATGCTTACCATGTTTTTTTACCTACAGGAAGCATATCCAGGAGCACAAAATATTTAGATGCCTGGTATGCTATGAATTTTACAAGCCTCTACCATTATTACATCAAAATGAATTTAAAAAAATAAACAGGACAATCTTCTTAAATTCTTACCTATAAGGAGAACATTTGTATGCTGTCTTTCCAGACACTCAGCAACTTCTATTGCTTTCTTCAAGACTCGCCTGTTGTGGCACAAGAAAATTTAAGACAACATTTTCATAGCATTTTTATAATTAAGATTCTTATATTAGTTTCCCTTAGATGGGGTTAGAATGTCATGGTACTAAACTTGACTAGTACTTTATAACACAAAACCCATGCCCAACCTGTGTAAATTAAGAACTGTTTGGCTTCACCAACAAACTTTCAAGAGGTATCTTATTTGATCATGCATTTCCAGTTGTTACAAAGCAATACTTTATTCTGGATCAGCAGTAGCCATCACACACTGAAGTACTACACTTGCTAAGAGCCAGATCTCTTTTTCCTGGAAAGTGTCAGCAGCACCACATTTAAGTTCTAATCTTACAAACTACATTTCTTCCACAATCTGGTTTTAAGAGGCAGAGGGAAGGATCAGCAATCAGATCTCGTAAACATACAAAAATTTATTCAGAGATTATCATTACACAGGGAAGACTCAGTGGAATTAAAGATCACATAAAACCAGATATAATGTAGTTTGTTTCGAGATCTAAATCTTCATGAAATTGGTTATTTTTAGCAAAGGTTTGCACACAAATTAGGATTCTTGCAACTGCTTAGATCACTAATAGAAACTGCAAGTTTATTTATAAGCATGGAGTTGTCAGATTGTTTGTTCCAGTTAGTTAGCCAACACCATTCCAACACTTACTGTGGACTGCAGAGAGAAGAAAAAAGAACCTGAGGAAGAATCAGGACAGGAAGGGGACAAAACTGAGAACAACTGACATTTTATAAAGCTTTGGTGGGCTAACATCTTGAACATTTTGTTCATCGCATCCTAAAGGATATTACAGAAGCAGAGATACAGGGAAGAACATCAAGGCTAGTGAGAGACACGGAACAGGTTTCATGCAAGAAACAAAAAGGATTCTCGAGTTTGGTGACTAAGTGCAGGAGGAAAATTACTGGATCTATATTTTCAATAGGTTTGATGGAAGAGTTGTAATTGGAATGATCTGCAGCTTCTCACATCCTTAACGTGGGAGGCTTAACACAAGCCTGCACTGTAAAAATGCCATCTCAAGTTACAGAAAAAAGATATGCAACTGCGACCATAAGTATGTCTTAATTTTCTTTTCTACTGCCAGTGAAGAATGCCATTACATTTCATGAAACCAGATAGAAAACTCTATACACATTTACCATCAATTTGAAACAAAGCTGAAGACATAGCAAACCTGATTATCTCTAGCCAATTTGTGCTCTCCAGTAATGAAAACCATTTCACATCAGTTGCCCAGAAGTCTGTACTGTTATCTGCAAAAAACCCAAAGCAACCCAAAAATTGGTTTGTTCACATATACACAGTGCTACTTAACAGCCATTCATTGTATTACCCTTCAGTTATGAACAGACATAAGCCAACCAATACTAAGGAGTTACCAAATTCTAATTGTTCAAGTTGACTCCCTGTAACTAAATGAGGAAGTGAAATAGTCCTACAAACACCAGTGAAATTTTACAGCACCATAGGCTTTTAGAAAAACTATGTTGAAGGTTCATTACAATCAAACCAGGTAAATAAATTTGTCGACAAAATGGGAAAAGAGAAGAAAGTAAGTTTAATCAGAGGTGATGATCTATATAAGACTTAACATAAGGAGTCTGGATTTTGAAAATCATTAGCATCAGATCCAGAAACGTTAATGGCTTTCAGAAGTAGGTTACACAGATTTATGGAATGTAAGACTACCTGAAAGGTGTTAAACAGTTTTCACTGCAATGAAGAGGCATTAAAATATATAAAAAGGGAACGGCTAACAAACTAGGAGGCCAAGTACAATACTGCAGTCATGAAACTCTTACAAATTTCACTAGGTTAAAAAGTGTTTTTTTAATGCAACCTAAATCTCTGTTGCTTTTATTTCTTTTCAAGCTAGTAAACAAAAACTGAAAAGCTCTCACTAGCTGGCATAGTCAATTAAAACCAGAATACATTACCTTTCTTGCATAAGATACAAACCTTGAAACCCAAGGTCTACAATAGTTCTGCTAGTGATAAACCAGAGACACACAGAAACATGAAGAACTGAAGCCACCACAGGGACAAGAGGCCAGTGTGATATAACTGCTCATCTCCTAAACTCTCTTCATATACTACCAATGTTTAATTCCAGCGCATGTACACTTCTGTCTCTTCTGCATCTTTAATCTCTGACCCTCAGCTGCACAGGTGTGTGTTTGTTTTGTTCCTGTCGCTGTTCTCTCTCCATGCCTATGCTCCTTATCCTGTTCATTACACATTTAAAAAAAAAATATCTTCCTCTGGAGCCTGACTGGAGACTGAACAACCTCCACTCTCTCAGCCTGTGATGTGCTCCAGCCCCCTGATCATCTTCATGGTCTCCCTCTGGACTCACTCCAGCAAGTCCATGTCCTTCTTATATTGGGGATCCCTCAGGGCTGGATGCCGCACTTCAGGTGGGGTTTTACCAGAACAGAGCAGAGGGGCAGAATCCCCTCCCTCAGTCTGCTGCCCACACCGCTTTGGATACAGCCCAGGATATGGTCAGCTTTGCTAGTGCATAGTGCTACATTCAGTGAGGGACAGTCTAGTAACAAACCTTATTTAAAAAGCTGTAATACAAAAATATTAACTGCATTGCAGTTTAACATATTCCTTTTCATATCAAACAATCTAAGACACTGATACAATGACATCGTTGAAATATGCAGTATTTCTTGAGAGATGTCAAATGACTTCAATTCAGGCTTTGACCTTTTTCCTATAGGAGGGTGTTACCAGAAACTACATTAAGAGACATGTAATTATTTTTAGCTCTTAAGATTCACTCGGGATTTGACAGTGTACTCTGGACAAAAATCCTCACACTGAAACTCTGGAAAATACCTTTTATCACAAGCTGGAGTGAAGCTTTTTTCATGTCAAGAGGTGACGATGAAGTACAGTTCCATAACAGTAAAACAGTTAAAGAGTCTCAGAAAAAGAAGTCTGAAAGCCTAGAGTATACTTTCACATGGCTTCCATGAGTCAGCCGAGTTGGAAGAGACCTCAAAGATCATCGAGTCCAACCCTACCATCGTTACTAGACCATGGCACTAAGTGCCACATCCAGTCTCAGCTTGAAAACCTCCAGGGATGGTGAATCCACCACCTCCCCAGGCAGCCCATTCCAATGCCTGATTACTCTCTCTGTAAAAAATCTCTTCCTAATATCCAACCTAAACCTCCCCTGGTAGAGCTTGAGTCTGTGCCCTCTTGTCCTACTGCTGGTTGCCTGGGAGAAGAGACCAACTCCCACCTGACTATAACCTCCTTTCAGGGAGTTGTAGAGGAGGATAAGGTCTCCCCTGAGCCTCCTCTTCTCCAGGCTAAACAACCCCAACTCCCTTAGCCTCTCCTCATGGCACTTGTGCTCGAGTCCCTTCACCATCCTCATTTCTACTTTTACTTCTACTTCACTTTACTTTTATTCATTCCATTTTACTTCTTTCAAGTGGACTTCTACTTACAGTAGTCATGGTTAGCTCTACAGCCAGGGTGACTAAATTTAAGCAGCTTCATATGTTTTGAGATGTGACTTGTGTGTAACAGAAGCTAGGGCAAAAAGTAATTAGCTTTTAGACTCAAATCTTGACATAACACAGAGGCTTAAAAGGTTGACACTGAACATTCAATTTCAATGCACCAGAGAAGACTGAAAAACCTCTCCCATAAACTTCTCTCCAGCTAGTGTACTCCAACTAACACTTGGGCTCCATGGACACTCCCTTTAAAATTAATTTTCAGATACTGTAATAGCAGGAGGCAATAAGTCTAAGAACCACAAACCTTCAGCAGTGTGCCAGACATACGAGCAGTCTTCACCTACATATTTTAAAATCTGCTTTTAACTACCCTCAAAAGACACCAATCAAGAAAATGACTGCATTCATGAGACACAGCACAGCATTGTTACACTTTGCTTTAAAGCTTGACTTACCTATCAAAAACAGCTGTTTAAATCTCGTGTATGCAGTCTGGATATCTTGCAGAGATGGAAGGCTGCTTGACAAGTCATCTGTCCTCAGGAGTTCATAGGGAGGTTTGCTAATTGTCTTATAGATTCTAAATCAAAACATCAAGAGATTAAAGCCTTCTGCTTTGTGAGTCAAATAATGCACCAACTGTTATCACTGAAGACAAAGTTAATAGGCATAGTTTGGGAAAGAGCTGTGATACCAAAAGATACCCCAGAAAGCTAGTGGCCTCCATGCATTTTGAAGTACTGTCTGGAAGGCTGCCTACAAGCTTACAACAAGATTTGATGTTTTCACCTGTTACACCAATAAAATTATATTTGTGCAGTTATGAATATTACAAGTACTACTTTATTTTTACTACTGCTTCTCCAGTATTGTCTTCACTAGACACAACAAAATCACTTTGAAAGTAGGTTATTTAGAAGTGAATACAGCAAGAGAAGATAGACAGAAACACCCAAACCTGCCAGCAGAAGCTTACAATTTCTCTTCACTTCTACCAACCAAATTACACTCTCATACGTAGCTGCCAGGTCTGCTAATGAAACATATGAGTAAAAGAAACAATTTGGACTCAAATGAGACAAAATACTTTGCATTTCCCTATATATCTGCTAATTTTTTCCCTTATAGGAAAGGAAAAAATACCAAGCCAGATGAAGCTTTGTTTGGGACCCAGAACATCCTCTCTCCTTCCAGTTCCAGAGCTCAGATGAACATCAGCTTACTAAGTATGTTTGCCATCATGATGGTTTTTATTGCCAAGACCTGGGAACTGTTGCCCTAGCTCATACTTCAGAAGTGACGCCTCATGGGCACTTTTCCAGGCAGGACAAAGTGCTTTGTTTCCTGTATGTTGTAGCACAGAAGCCTGCTTTAAGTGAGCACTACAGGCATCCACATCGGAAACACAGGATACTAGACCTACTGGAAGATGCATCAGTTCAGAGAACTAAGGGAAAGCAATCACTGGTCAAATGCAAGACTTCTTCCAAGTGAAGCAGTAAAGACGTAAACAATTTGTGCTAGAAAACCTGGCTCTGAACAGCTTTTTCAATAAGAGAAGCTGTTAATTGTAAAGACCTGCTCTGTGCCTGAGTTCAGGGTACTATTACAATGGCACATTAACACACCCTTATGGACAACTTGTAGATATATTCTTAGATACGAGTAGTTAAGCACCAATACTCCACAGCAAAGAAAACCAGCAATACTGCCCCAAGTTCAAATGGTCCAAGACAGGAGATCAAAATATCGGTTGACACCTTGTTACAGTTCACTGCTAGTTTTACTTGATTTCACATCATGGAATAGCATTAAAGTGAGTTATGAGTCATATAAACTTCTCCATTTCAGGACAGAAACATTAGAGAATCTGCAGGCAGGATCAAAAGCCTTTCCTATGCAACTATAATGAATTTCATAAACAAAAGAGGTTTCAACAGGCTCATTAAGCTATTTTCTGTTAGTTCTATGTGATTAACTGGCCCTCCATCTGTAAGACCAAGGACCTAATGTTGAAAGTACCAGCTGCGTGAGTCTGATCTAACAGCTGGCTGCTAAGCAGGAAATTCTCCCCAGGACACCCAACAGGTTAAAAAAAAAGACAGAAATAAAGAGCAACAAGACATAACCATAACACTCAGTCAGGCAGCTGGACTCTTCCCCTTTAGTTAAACTTCAGCATTTTTGCCAAACTGCTGAACTAATTCGGCTAACTAACTCAGCTGAAAAAGTGTTGTCTGCCATCACAACTGACAGCTGCAGTAGTGAACTGCTAGACTGTCTCAGACATTTTAGCTCACTTTATCTAAAGTTATTAAAAAACACAAATCTAGTTCTCAGACGACGACAGTCTTAAAAACTCAGTTTGCAAATCCATGTTTAGAGCTGGAGCCTAGATTTCTCTTACTTGCAAACACAATTGATCCCATCAGCTAATGATACTCGAATTATATTTGACACACTTAGGTGCAGCTTTACCTAAATAACACACCACAGTTTGCACATAGATTCCTCAGACATATATATGTCTAATATTTCAGATACACACACAAATATATATATATATGTCTGAGGAATCACAAATTTCCACAAATAAGCCTTCACTGAAGTTCCAGTCCTGCAAAACTGACCAATGCCGTTACGTCAAGAGCTTAAACACATTCCACTACAGAAAACTATTACATCTAGAACTTGTTTCCTGATGTGTGAAAGCTTAAAAGATAAAGCATATATGGAAAAAGAGAAGCAAGGTCCATACCAAGCAAAGTGTTGTGGACAGAATAGCTATTACTGACCCATCCAAGAAGGCTTTTTGCGTTTGTGCAGTGCTGTCATCCTGTTCTTTGGGAAAAGCAGACATTTTGAGAAGAGCAGCACCATTATGGCAAGACCAACACCAAATCTGCAGAAAGACATTTACCAGGTGATAAGGATTAGGAAATAGTCCATTACAAGGTATTCGCTTAAGTGACTGAGTGATTGCAAGAAATTTCTCTATGCTGTGCTTGATTTTTTGCTGTATCCAACAACTCCATTAGTAGAAGCAAACTTCTACATTTGCATCAAATTTATACACCTCAGTACACTGTAACCACTGGCAAGTTTTAAATTAGGCTTCACACAGGCACAGAGAAACAAAATGCCACATTATATCAAAACGTTACTTTCTCAATTGTCCTCACAGGTAAAAAAAACTGATCAAAGTCTGTGGTCAAATTATGTTGGAATATATGCCACAGCAAGACAGCTCTTGCAAGTAACTCATATATATTAGTCATCATTTACTCCACACAGATAGTAGGTTTTCTTAAAGTTCAGTCTTGAGATAACTCACAATAAATGTACTGACATGCCTTTCCATGTGAACTGTGCATAAAAGGTGATCTAGACATATGAAATAAGATATTAAAACACACCACAAAGGAATCAGATTGCATAGTCACAGATACTCATTGCAGCAAATCAGTCCTCAAAGCTTCTTACTTCCCTTTACACATAATTTCTTAATTCACACCTACTGCTTGAAGCTCTCAAACTGATGTTTAAACTTGCTGTGAAATGGGGAGTAACAATCATATTCACCACGAATGTTACACAAGTCAAATTGGGAAATTCAAGTTCTGCTTCCAATTTATAGTGGCCAAGAGGTGCACCTAAGAAGGATGCAGAAGCCTCACACTCATCAAGAGTGAAAAAAATTACTATACTGTCCTTCAAGTGCCTTCTCAAATCAATTTAAAAGTGTCAAGTTAGCTTGACCACAGCTTCACAAAAGTAATTTGGAAATAATAACAAGAGCTCTACAAGGCCTCTGAACAGTGGACAAGGGAAGAGCTACAGATGTTGTCATCTATCTGGACCTTTGACATGGTTACCCACAACATCCTTCTCTCTAAATTGGCAAGATACGGATTTGATGGATGGACTGTTTGGTGCATGAGGAATTGGTTGGATGGTCATATCCAGAGGGTAATTGTCAATAGCTCAATGTCCAGATGGAGACCAACGATGAGTGGTGTCCTTCAGGGGTCCATATTGGGATGAGAACTATTTAACAGCTTCATCAATGACAACTGACAGTGGGATCAACTGCACCCTCAGCAAGTTTGCAGATGACACCAAGCTGAGTGATGTGTCTGACATGCCTAAGGGATGGGATGCCATCCAGAGGGAGCTGGATAAGCTCAAGGAACGGGTCCCATGGAAACAACATGAGGTTCAACAAGGCCACGTGCAAGGTGCTGCACCTGCATCAGGGCAACCCTTGGTGTCAGTAGAGGCTGAGGGATGAAGGGATTGAGATCCAGCCCTGTGAAGAACTTGGGAGTATCAGTGGATGAAAAGCTAGACATGAACTGGCAATGTGTGCCTGCAGCCCAGAAAGCCAAGCATGTCCCAGGCTGCATCCAAAGCAGTGTGGGCAGCAGGTCGAGGGAAGCAATTCTGCTCCTGTACTCCACTCTGGTGAGATCCAACCTGGAGTACTGCATCCAGCTCTGGGGTCCTCAACACAGGAACAATGTGGATCTGTTGGAGGAGGTCCAGAGGAGAGACACTAGGAGGTGATGTTTCTGTTTACTCCAGAGAGAGACTGGAGTAGATGACATTTAAAGTCTCTCTCAAGTCAAACTATTCTCTGATTCTATTAATGCAAGATGGAATTAAAAAAAAAATCATTTGTTTCTGTGTAAGAGCCAGTGTAACATGCCTGGCTGAATCTCTAAGAAAAGTGAACCAAACTATTCGAACTTCATGCAGGACAGTACAGTACCATGTTCTCCATGGGCCAATTCATTTAGGAGCATGGTTTTTCTTAGCAAATTTGATGGACATACAGCAACTAAGATAAGACTTCTTAAGTGAGATTACTTAGCTCCTTGTTTCCATCTGCTGTCTTACTGGTTCTTAAACTACAAGGTATGAAGACAAAGCCAGCTTGCTACAGGGTGCAAACCAGTATATATAACTCCATTTTCTGTTGGACTGGTAGAACTAGTTTTTCAGTTGGGCTACTTGACTTTGTGAAAATGCTGCATCATCACAGCCATACCACTTACCAGCACCCAAGCTAGGTAACCGCAGGTGTTCAGCTACACCTCAGACGCACGGTCTTCACCTCAATATCCAAACAGCATTTCAAGTCCTACATTCTGCCCCAGCCAGATGCCAGCCAGTACACAGTCTCGTGAAAAACATGCTGATGGACAGACAGACTAGTAGGACATGTAAGCTACAGGATATTATAAGTAAATGGGAACTCTGAACAGTAAATACACATTTTGCTGTTGTGTTATAGATGTTTTGCTACACATTACACTGTTTCGTGAAATACAGAATACTTTGAGCACTTCTTGCAACATCTGTTTCCCTTCTGCAGATGACTAGGTATATATGTAAGCTGTTATAAACAAGTTTTGAAAATAATATGCAGTAACATCTGAAATGCTAGTTGAAATATTGTTATTTCAGTAAGATTTCTTACCCTCAGCCATGCACATAT